CAGACCTATAGCGCTATTCCCAGTCTCTCTTCTGAGTCATGCATCACCACCTATTTACTGGACAGTTCCAACAGGATGTCTTATAGGCATCACAAACTCAACATATCCAAAACAGAATTAATTATCTTTACCTCCATACCCACCTCTCTTCCCAACTCCCCTGTTAACCGTCAAGGGAATCATCATCTTTCCAGGCACTTAGGTTTGCCACCTGAGTTTCATCTCCAACTCCTCTTTCTCACTTACTCCCCTTGTCCGTCAGTGGGCAGATCTTCTTTTATTGTTCTCCATAGCATCTCCAGCATCTGTCCCCTTCTCTTCACTCATACACCCACCACTCTAATTTAGGCTCTTCAGCTTATCATCTGAGCTTTTGTAGTATTTTTTTTTTGAGGCAATTGGGGTTAAGTCATTTGCCCAGGGTCACACAGCTAGTAACCATCTGAGGTCAGATTTGAATTCAGGTCCTCCAGACTCGAGAGTCGATGCTCTATCCACTATGTCACCTAGCTGCCCCCTAATATCCTTCTAATTGGTCTCCCTGCCTCAAAGCCCTTCCCACTCCAATTCATCTGGTCATACAAACATCAAAGTGATTTTTACTAAAATGTAAATCTGATCATGTCACCCTGCAATAAAATCCAGTAGCTCCCTCAAACCTAGAATCAAATATAAACTTCTCTGTTTAGCATTTAAAGCTTTTTATAACCTGGTCCCTTCTTACCTTTCCAGTCTTATTACATATTTCTTCCCTCCCTGCTCTATGGTTCTGTCATTCTAGCTTATTTGCTGTTCCTTACACATGACACTGTCTCCCACCTCCACACCTTTGCACTGATTGCCTCCCATGTACAGAATGCAGTCCCCTCTTAACCTCTGACTCTTAGATTCTGGCTTCCTTCAAGACTGCTTAAATACTACCATCTTTACTAGGCCTTTTTCCAGTCTCCCAAAGCTGTTGCTGCCTTCTCCACTGAGGTTATCTTCCATCTAGTCTGGTTATCCTCCCTCAGATACTCACTTGTATATATTTTTGCATGTTATCTCTTGCCATTAGAATGTAAGCTTCTTGAGGGCAGGGAATGGTTTTGTTTTTTCTTTGTTTTCTAAGCCCTTAGCATAGTCCTTGGCATATAGTAAATACTTAATGAATGCTTGTTAATTGATTTACCCTCCCCATTTCTCAAATTCTTCATTGTTGTTCAAAAAGACTCCACTACATTCACATAATACAATTTTTCCTGCCATTCTTTGGTCTCTAGGCATCTACCTAGTTTCTAATATTTTGCTACCACAAACAGAATTGCTGTGCATATTTTGTTGTACAAGGGATCTTTTTTATTTTTCCCCATCATTGACCTCTGTGCCAAAGGCAATGTAAAACACATTTGTGGACATGGCCAGTGTAGGAATTTGTTTTGCTTGACTATGCACATTTGTTACAAAGGTTTGTTTTTTGTTTTTTCAATTGGGGGATGGGTTGGGAGGGAGAGAGAGAGAGAGAGAGAGAGAGAGAGAGAGAGAGAATAAATGCAGCTAGATAAATGCAGGTAAAGGGCTGAGCCTGGAGTCAGGAAGACCTGAATTCAAAAGTGGCCTCAGATACTTAACTAGCTGTGTGGCCCTGGCCAAGACACTTAACCTCTGCCTGCCTCAGTTTCCTCAACTGTCAGATGGGGATCATAATAGCACCTACCTCCCAGGATGGTTACAAATGAAATAATATTTGTAAAGCATTTTGTACACCTTAAAGTACCATGTAAATGTTAGCTATTTTTATAATCAATGTTTATTAATTGAAAAAAATTAAATAATTTTTTAAAGGCTATTATGACTTGCGTAATTCCAAGTTGTTTTCCAGAATGTTTGGGCCATATCTTAGTGTGTCTCTTTCCCCATGACCCCTCTAATACTGACAGTTGCTCTTATTTATCTTCTTTGCCAACCGCTGGGCTTGGGTGAAATGCTGAGTTGTTTTAATGTACCCTTCTCTTATCTCTAGTGATTTGGAGATTTCTTTTGTGTGGTAGTTGATAGTTGGCAGGATTTTTTTTTTTAAAGAACTTTAAAACTATGTCTCTATTATATGTCTTGGATATTGACTTTTATCAAAGATATTTGATGTGAACATTCTTTTTTTTCCCAATGGACAGTTTCTCTTAATCTCCTTATTTTGGGTCCCCTTAGTATTTCTTCATTGTCTTGAGTTCTCCTTTGCTCCTTCATTTCATCAGACCTTTGGTTGCCTTTTTTTCTTTTTTTTTTTGGTCTGGACTTTCTAGTGAAACTTGCTTCCTTTTCTCCAACCAGTTATTATCTGTTGTTGTTGTGCCATTTCAGCTGTGTCCAATCCTTCGTGACCCCAGTTGGGGTTTTCTTGGCAAAGATACTGGAGTAGTTTGCCATTTTCTACTCCAGCTCATTTTACAGATGAGGAAACTGAGGCAAACAGCGTTAAAGTGACTTGTCTAGGATCACACAGCTAGTAAGTGTTGGGGGCCAGATTTGAACTGAGGAAGATGAGTCTTCCTGACTCCAGGCCTGGTGGTCTGTGCACCATGGCGCCACCTAGCTGCCCCTGTTGTCTATCTACTCCATCTATTTCTAGCATCAGGGAAGCTAGACTCATGTAGAGTTTCTCATTCATCTGTCTTGCTGGAAATTCCCTTTTTCACTCTTTTTCCAAGATTTCTTCTCTCACTCTGTTCTCTCTTCTAATTCCTCTGCTCACACTGTTCTTCAACAATCCATTCCTACCCATTTTGTTCCCCCCAAATTCTCTCCCAGAAATATTTTAAACTCTTACTTTTTTCACTACCCTGTCCTCATCTATTTTTATTCCCCCTTGAACACTTAGCTGTTAGGGTGAGAGGGCAGTGTAGTGTAATGGATAGCGCTGGATCTGGAGACATTGGGGGATTGGGGGGGTAGAAACAGACATTTATTGAGCACTTACTATGTGCTGGGTTCTGTGATGCTATGGAAAGGAACATTTTACAAACGTTTTCTTATTCAATCCTCACAACAATCCTGGGAGGTAGGTGCTATTACTATCCTTCTTTTACAGTTGCAGAAATTGAGGCAGATAGAGGTTAAGTGACTTGTCCACAAAATATCTGAGGCTGGAATTGAACTTAGTCTTTCCTGACTCCAGCTCCAGTGCTCAATCCACAATGGCACCAGCTGCCTCTAGATGCATAGGTTGTAGATCGAGAGCCAGAAAACATCTAGTACAACTCATTTTTACAGATAGAAAGCTGAAGTTCAGGGAGGTTAAATGTCTTGTTCAAGGTCATCAAGCATCAGAGGCAGGATATGAACCAGAAGTCCTTAGTTCAGTGGTGCTCTGGGAAATATTCACAGGTTCTCTGTGGGTAAAAATGTATGCAGGACACACATTCAATCTCAATCTTCATTATTACGATTTTCTCCATCACTTTCTTAAATCTACAGATCAACAAAACAATAAATCAAGGCCTGATTTGTAGCCTTTGACAATGCCTGGGGTGTAATACTCACTGAAAATTTAATAATGAGCTTTCGAGAGCCAGTTCTAGCTAGCTCCAGCACATCTAGGTTCAAATGTCATCTCATAGACTTGTGATTAAAGACAAGGCACTTAGTTAACCTCCCAGAGCCTCAGTTTTCTCATCTGGAACATAGGGAGGAGGAGTATATACTTTATACCTTCTCGCTCACAGGGTTGTTGTGAAGAAAGTGCCTTGCAAGCCTTAAATTGGTATGTCACTGAGTTGTTTTTTTAAAAATACTTTTATTTCTTACATTACGTATTTCCCGATTACTTGTAAAAATTTTTTAACAATAATTTAAAATAGTATTTTATTTTTCCTAATTACATGTAAAGACAATTTTAAACTTTTATTTAAAAATTTTTTTGAGTTCCAAATTTTCTCACTCCCTTCCCTCCCCACTCCCTAAAAAGGTAAGAATTTTAAATAGGTTTAACAATCATTAAAAATTTTTTGATTTCCAAATTCTGTCCCTCCCTCCTGCCCCTCCCTCCTCCTTAAGAAGGAAAGCACTTTGATATAGATTATACATATGAGGTCATGCCATACATATGTCCATATTAGCCATGTTGCAAATGAAAACACAATAAAATAAAACAACAAAAGTAAAGAAAAATTTAAAAAGTATGCTTCATATGCACTCAGAGTTCATCGAGTTCTCTCTCCGGAGGTGGATAGCATTTTTCCATCATGGGTCCTTTGGAATTGTCTTGGATCATTGTATTGCTGAGAATTACTAAATCTTTCCCAGTTGATCATCGTACAATATTGCTGTTACTGTGTATAGTTTTTTCCTGGTTCTGCTCACTTCACTTTACATGAATTCACACAAGTCTTTCAGGTTTTTCTGAAACCATCCAGCTCATCATTTCCTATAGCACATTAGTATACTGTCACAATCATATACCACGACTTGTTCAGCCATTCCCCAATTGATGGGCATCCCCTCAATTTCCAATTCTTTGCCACCACATAAAGAGCTGCTATAAATACTTTTTACAAATAGGTCCTTTGTCCCTCCCCTTTGATCTCTTTGGGATACAGACCTAGTAGAGCTATTGCTGGGTCAAAGGATATGCACAGTTTTATAGCCCTTTGGACTTAGTTCCAAATTGCTCTCCAGAATGGTCGTATCAGTTTCCATGAATTGTTACGTGTGAGGGTGGAACAAGGCTTGGTTTGTAGAATCATAGATATGGAGCTAGAAAAGAACTCGTACGTCATCTAGTCCAGGACTTCTTAAACTTCTTCCACTTGTGACCCTTTCAGTACTCCTTAAACTGTGAGTTGAGACCCAATCCAATCCTTTCATTTTACAGATGGGGAGACTGAGGCCAGATTAAGGAACATGCCAGAAGTCTCACTAGTACTAAGTGTCAGAGGCTGGAATGAGGTCGTATCCTGTCTTTTCTTTTTACTGTACCACATTGACTTCCTCAACTCTGTTTTTCCCCTCTCTCCTAATTCCAGATGTTATGGACCTGGATCTTTCTCTGCCCCACCTCACCAACTCCTCAGATGATCCAAGCTCTGAGCCTGGGACCCCTCCTGGAACCCCCCCGAGGTCTGATGCTCATCTTCCTGGGGAACTGAAGAGATCCCAGCCCCTTTCCATCCAGGCCAGCAGGTATGAGAAGGACTAGATAGGGAAATGGGATTATCTAGGCAGAGGGGGGCGCGGCATAGCCATGGTAAGGGGAGAAAAGACAAGCATGTTATCCACCCCGGCCTTAGCTTGACTTTTTCTTTCTATAGGAAACTTAGGGAGGAAGAGCTGCGATCCTCGTCTCTGCCTGCTATTCCTAACCCTTTTCCTGAGCTCTGCAGCCCTCCTTCTCAGTCACCCATCCTTGGAGGCCCCTCCTCAGGGCGGGGGTTCCTCTCAAGAGATAGCAGTGTCCCCCATGTGAGTTACTCTGGGACAAGAAATGGGAGGGTGCTGGGGAAAGGAAGGGTGGACACACTGGAGATGGGGGTTTTTGTAGAATGCTAGATGGGTGGAGGATGTCCCTCTTCCCCTAGGACAGCCTTATTAGGGGGAAGGAGAGTTAGGGTTACCCTCTCTGGGAACAGAATTGCCTGCTTCCAGTAATCTTAATATTTTAGCCAGGGAGCACTAAATCAGGCAGGTGTTGAACCATTGAGCACTTCTGGATTCTTGTTCTGGGTGGCGGGGCAGGTGGTGAAAGTGTACAATGAAGACGAGACATGCCGGTCCGTGGAGGTGGCGGCAGATGCCACAGCCCGACACGTGTGTGAAATGTTGGTGCAGCGGGCACATGCCCTGAGCGATGAGAGTTGGGGGCTGGTTGAGTGCCATCCCAACCTGGCATTGGGTGAGTGAAGGGACCCTGGTGTGGGGGAGTGAGTGGGGCTGGTTTTACCCATGTCTGTGGGAAGGGGTAGAAAGAGTCACTATTGGGTTCTCAGGACCACGGGAATATTGCTCCATTCCTCCCCCCTCCCATGCGTGTTGGGCATCCTTATCATATTTTGTTAGTGTTTGTCTCATAGGCAAAAGACACAGGTGTTCAGCAGATACATCATTTGTGTCAAGCTTAGCTTGTATGGCACATGGGAATAGGAATGATTTTGGGAGCAGTGTTGTCTCTGAAGTTAGAGGACCTGCATTCCAATCCCACCTCTGATACTTACTGTGTGACCTAGAGCAGGTCACAACCTTCCTGCCTCAATTTCCTCCACTATGAAATGAGAGGCTTGGATTAGATGATCTCTGAGGTCCCTTTCAACTCTAGTCTAGGAGCCTATGATCTGTTAAAAAGTATGGGCCCCAGAGTTCCCCAACCCACCCCTAGAGACTTGGATTTGGGGTTAGGAAAAAATTCAAATCCTCTGTCAGATATTCCCTAGTTGTTTGACCCTGGACAAGTCACTTAATTACTCTGTGTTAGAGAGTTTGAACTTGGTGGCTTCTAAGATCCCTTTTAGTCCTACATTTATGAACCTATGATCCTATCTCAGACACTTAGCTAGCTGTGGGATCCTGGGCCAGTCACTTAACCACTATGATTCCCCAGTTTCCTTATCTGTAAAATGAGGATAGTAATACAGATGGATATCTGTAGCTCTCCCTCTCTCAGAGGGTTGTTATAAGGACCAGACGAGTATACATACATATAGATAGATAGATAGAGATAGATATTTAGATATGTATATATTGATATATATATATAGAAAGATATAGATGCACACATATATTTATGCATGTATATACATATATGTCATTATGTCTTTATATATACATACATATATAAACACACACATATATACATATGTGGATATGTATGCATAAAGTTGTTCAGTTGTTTCAGTCATGTCCAACTCTTCATGAGCCCCTTTGGGGTTTTCTTAGCAAAGATACCATTTCCTTCTCCAGCTCATTTGACAGATGAGGAACAGAGGCAAATAGGGTTAAGTGACTTGCCCTGGGTCACACAACTAGTAAGTGTCTGAGGACAGATTTGAACTTAGGAAGATGAGTTTTTCTAACTCCAAGCCCAGTACTCTGTGCACTATGGTGCCACCTAGTGGCCTATATGTATATATGTATGTATATACACATTTGTGCACACATACACATACAAAATGCATAGAGCTCTTCAAAGTTGTTGTTTTTGTGTTTCCAGAGAGGGGACTGGAGGATCATGAGTCAGTGGTAGAGGTGCAAGCTGCCTGGCCTGTCGGGGGAGACAGTCGTTTTGTCTTTCGAAAAAACTTTGCCAAATATGAACTGTTTAAGAGCTCCCCAGTGAGTAAGCATGTGTATATGTGTGTGTGTGTATTTACAGCTGGGGGAGGGGAGGAGGAGACATGGCGGATTATGGGATAGGGGGTTCAGAAGGTTTCCACCCATCTGCCACTATTTGACTAAGGGCCCAGGGTGGAAGGAGGGGAGGGTAGGGGTAGATGATAAGAGGTGTGTCCTTCTCCCCTTCCTGACCTCTCTTTCCCTGTCCTCTCACTCAGCACTCCCTCTTCCCAGAGGTAATGGTCTCCAGCTGTCTAGATACCAACACTCACATGACCCATGATGAGCTCATCCAGGTGAGGGATCCTTCCTCCCCCTTCCGTCAGGTCTCTTTCCTTCCTCCGGCTCTTCTCATCTTTATCCTTCCCCACAAAGGCCCTCTTCTTGCCCCTTTCTAAAATTCCTTCCTATCAACTGGCATATGACTAGGCTACTCAGTGGACTTGAAGTCAGAGAGCGCTGAGTTCAAATCCTGCTTCAGACCCTCACTAGTTGTGCGACCCTGTGCAAGTCACTTAACCCTATGCCTCAGTTTCCTCATCTGTAGGAAAAGGGGGAGGGTCCCTGGACTTAATGGCCTTCTAAGGTCCCTTCCAGCTTCATATCTCTGATCCTATGGGATCATCTCAAATTAACCTTCTTTCTCCCAGAACTTCCTGAATGCAGGTAGCTTCCCTGAAATCCAGGGTTTCCTCCAGCTCCGGGGATCAGGACGCAAGCTCTGGAAACGTTTCTATTGCATCCTGCGCCGCTCTGGCCTCTACTGTTCCACCAAAGGCACCTCCAAGGTTGGCACCCTCTACAGACACCCACCCTCTGCAGGACTCCCAAGCTGGCCCCTTCCAGAGAGCCCTGTCTCAGGGATACCCAAGGAATGCCCCTCTACCTCTTTGGGATTCACAGTTATTAGACCCCGTAGCCTCACAAAGGCAACTGAGGCAGGAGGGGCTCATCTGTGACTGTGCCTCGAAGGCAGAACAAGTCTTGGACTTAAGATTCCACCCCATCAAAGACCCCCAGGCCCTCCCTAGCACTTGCCCCTGGGATTCTTTCTTCTTCCCCCCAACACCCTCCCCCACACCCAGGCAACCTGACCTGATCCTTTCTTCCAGTTCAGATCTCTTCTCTTCATTACTATTCTAGCCTAAAATACCTGTCTTCCTTCTACCTAGGACCCCCGACATCTACAGTATGTGGCTGATATAAATGAATCCAATGTGTATCTAGTGACCCAGGGCAGAAAGCTCTATGGGACGCCCACTGATTTTGGCTTTTGTGTCAAGGTGAGAGACCCTTGACCCTAACACCCCAGGGCTCTGATGCCTGACTGGTTTTTGGCCCTGATCCCAATCCTGGTTGCTAGTTCCTCTGGTCCATTATCTCCTTAGCTCCTTAATTCCCCAGAATTTCCAGTGAACCCTAACAATAGAACTTCACCGCCCTACAATTCTCCAGTGCCATTCATTTCTTTTTTCCTTTAACCCTCAGAGTCCCCAATTCTTGCTCAGGCGTAGAGAGAGGTTGGGAGAAAAAGGAAGGGGCATTTTTGGTTCACTTAGGTCTCCTTGTTGCCTAGTGGGTAGGAGGGAAGAAGCAGGACTCTGGCCGCTAATGAGTTCTTCCCTCTTCAGCCTAACAAACTGCGCAGCCCAAAGGGGCTTCGGGTCTTCTGCAGCGAAGATGAACGGAGCCGCAGCTGCTGGGTGGCTGCCTTCCGTCTCTTCAAGGTACTTGAAATCACTAGGGGGAAAGTGATGACCTGGACACCAGCCAGGACCCCAAACGTTGGCTTCTAGCCTGGACAGAGGAGGGAAGAGGGAAGGCCCCCAGGAGTTCCAGTCTGATGGGGGAGACCCAGTACCTGGCCTCAGGGCACTCCCAGTCTGATGGGGGAGACCAGTCCATGCTCTCAGCCAGATAGGCAGGACACAGTGTCTTCCCTAAAAGAGCTTCCAGTGAGGTCCCTCTCCTATTATCTCCCCAGTACGGAATGCAACTTTACAAGAATTATCAGCAGATGCAATCCCGACGAATTCGCCCATCCTGGTTTGGTACTACGCCTCTGGTGAGTGCTTCTTAATGCTGACACACTTTCTGTGTCCCCATACTTCTGCCCCAGACCACCGGTAAGGGTGGCTGAATCCCTCTCTTGGCCCCACCCATCCCAGGGGCTCCATGTTTTTACTCAGATCTCTCTCTCTATCTTCCTCTCTTCCTCTCTCTCTCCTCTCCTTCCTGCCCCAGAGGAGCGTCTCAGACAATACTTTGGTGGCCATGGATTTCTCTGGTCGTGCTGGACGGGTCATTGAGAATCCCAGAGAGGCTCTGAGTGCAGCACTGGAAGAAGCCCAAGCCTGGAGGGTGAGAACAGAAGGTGGGGAGAGGAGGGAGGCAGCAGGTGCAGAGGGCCTAGGAATTGGAAGGGGTTCTTTAAAGGCACTAGCCTGGACCAAAGGTGCCTGGGCCTTCATACCCATAAGTCAAGGACTAGTGATTTTTGCCTGGTCAGAGCTCTGTTCACCAAGACATATTATACACAACAGCCATTTTAGCCCTTGGCTTGAGGCTCAGAGCTTGGGACACTTTCCCAGGCTCATTTAGTGAGTAAATATTAGAATCACCTCCCCCCCTTCCCCTTTAAGAGCATTGTCTTCTCCCATTAGAATATAAACTCCTTGAGGATAAGAACTGTTCTGCTTGCTTATATTTGTAGCCCCAGCATTTAGCCTAGTGCCTGCCCATGATTCTGGGGGCTTAATAAATGCTTGTGCTCTCTCTGTCTTTCTCCTCTCTCTCACTTTTTCTCCTCCTTCCTCTCTCCCTGCTCTCTTTCTCTGCCTGCTTTCTCCTCTCCCTCTCTTCCCCCTCCTTCCCTTTCACTCCCTTATCAGAGACTGGTTGTAAAAATTCTTTCCAGGGGCAGCTAGGTGGCACAGTGGATAGAGCACCAGCCCTGGAGTCAGGAAGACCTGAATTCAAATGCGGCCTCAGACACATAACGTTTACTATAGCTGTGTGACTCTGGGCAAATCACTTAACCCCATTGCCTAGCCAAAAGAAAAAGAAAAAAAATTCTTTCCCAATTTTCTACTTTCCTTCTAATCTTGGTTGCATTGGCTTTGTTTGTGTAAAAACTTTTCAATTTAATGTAATCAAAGTTATCTATTTTGCATTTCATAATGTTCTCTATCTCTTGTTTGGTCATGAATTCTTCTGTTCTCTGTAAATCTGATAAGTAAACTATTGCTTGTTCTCCCAGTTTGCTTACAGTATCAGCCTTTATATCTAAATCATGAACCCATTTTGACTTTATTTTGGTATATGGTGTGAGATTTTAATCTATGACTAGTTTCTGCCATACTCTTTTCCAGTTTTCCTAGCAGTTTTTGTCAAAGAGTGAGTTCTTATCCCAGAAGCTCGGGTCTTTGGGTTTATCAAATAATAGATTACTATACTCATTAACTACTGTGTCTTGCATACTTAACCTATTCCACTGATCCACCACTCTGTTTCTTAGCCAGTACCAAGCAGTTTTGATGATTGCTGCTTTATAATGCAATTTAAGAACTAGAATGGCTAGGCTACCTTCCCCTGCATTTCTTTTCATTAGTTTCCTTGATATTCTGGACCTTTTGTTATTCGAAATGAATCTTGTTATTATTTTTTCTAACTCTATAATATAGTTTTTTGTAGTTTGGTATGGCATTGAATAAGTAAGTTAGCTTACGTTGAATTATCATTTTTATTATATTAGCTCGGCCTACAACTAATCTTTTTCCAATTATTTAGATCTGACTTTATTTGTGTGAAAAGTGTTTTGTAATTGTGTTCATATAGTTCTTGGGTTTGTTTTGGTAGGTAGACTCCTAAATATTTTATGTCTACAGTAACTTTAAATGGAATTTCTCTTTTTATCTCTTGCTGTTGGACTGTGTTGGTAATATATAGAAATGCCGATGATTTATGTGGATTTATTTTATAGCCTGCAACTTTGCTGAAGTTATTTATTATTTCAAGTAGTTTTTTAATTGATTCTCTAGGATTATCTAAGTATATTATCATATCATCTGCAAAGAGTGATAGCTTTGTTTCTTCTTTGCCTATTCTAATACCTTCAATTTCTTTTTCTTCTCTTATTGCTAAAGCTAACCTTTCCAGTACAATATTGAACAATGGTGGTGATAATGGACATCCTTGTTTTACTCTCGATCTTATTGGAAATGCTTCTAGCTTGTCCCCATGACATAGGATGCATACACGTCATTCCCCAATTGATAAATGGTCAAAGGATATGAACAGGCAGTTCTCAGATGAAGAAATTAAAGCCATCTACTGTCATATGAAAAAATGCTCTAAATCACTATTCATTAGAGAAATGCAAATCAAAAAAACTCTGAGGTATCAGATCACACCTATCAGATTGGCCAACATGACAAAACAGGAAAATGATAAATGTTGGAGAAGATGTGGGAAAATTAGAACACTAATGCATTGTTGGTGGAGTTGTGAAATGATCCAACCATTTTGGAGAGCAATTTGAAACTATGCCCAGAAGGCTATATAACCCTTTGACCCAGCAATAGCACTTCTAGGGCTATATCCCAAAGAGATCATACAAATAGGAAAAGGACCCACATGTACAAAAATATTTATAGCAGCTCTCTTTGTGGTGGCAAAGAATTGGAAATTGAGAGGATGCCCATCAATTGGGGAATGGATGAATAAGTTGTGGTATATGAATGTAATGGAATACTATTGTGCTATAAGAAACGATGAACAGGCTGACTTCAGAAAAACCTGGAAAGACTTGTATGGTCTGATGCTGAGTGAAGTGAGCAGAACCAGGAGAACGTTGAACATAGTAACACCCATGTTGTGTGATGACTAATATTGATAGACTTAACCCTTTTCAGCAACACAAGGATCTAAGACATCTCTAAAGGCCTCGTGATAGAAAATGCTATCCACAAAGAAGAAAGAACTATGGAGTTTGAATGCAGATTGAAGCATACTATTTGCTATTTTTTTTTCTTCTGTTGTGTTTTGTTTCCTCTTTCTGGTGGTTCCTCCTATTGGTTCTAATTCTTACTTACAACATCACTAATGTGAAAATATGTTTAATAGGAATGTATATGTATAGCCTATATCAAATTGCGTGCTGTCTTGGGGAGGGAGGTAGGGAGGAAGGAGGAGAAAAATTTAAAACTCAAAAGCTTATAGAAGTGATTGTTGATAATTCAAAATAAATTAATTGAAAAAAAGAAAAAAATATTTTGAGAAGGGGTCCATAGATTTGGCCAGATGGCCAAAGGAGGTTCCATGACACAAAAAGTTTAGGAACTCCTACATCCCCAGTGTCTCTTCGTCTCTATCTCTCTGTCTCTGTCTATCTATTTGTATTTCTGCCTCTCTGAATCTGTCTCTCTCTTTTCCTGGTATGTATGTATGTATGTATGTATCTCTACTGTGTCACACTTAAGCTTTAGGTCTCATTTGTGTGCTTTGATGCCTCTTTCATGTAAGGAACCGAATTTTGTAGGAAAGGAAAAATTCCTCCTCTTGCCCAGCCCCTGAAGTTCACCTTCTAGGTGAAAGGACCCTCAGTTTTGTTGGCATGCCAGGAAGAGCTATCCCAGACTGTTTCCTCTGGGAATCAGGACTCTAAGGTCTTTTTTTTTTTTTGGCTAGACAATGGGGTTAAGTGACTTGCCCTTGGTCACACAGCTAGTAAGTGTTATGTGTCTGAGGCTGGATTTGAACTCAAGTCTTCCTGACTCCAGGGCCATTGCTCTCTCCACTGTGCTGCCTAGCGGCTCCAAGACTCTAGGGTCTTAAAGAGAAACTGAGCCACCAACTGGTTCCTTCTTCTTTTATTGCTCTCACCTCCTTCTAGAAGAAGACCAATCACAGATATAGCCTGCCTACTCCTTGCCCCGGCAGCACGCTCAGCTCAGGTGAGGGCCTTGGTGTGGGAGGCGTGGAGTAGGAGAGTCTGTTGCTTTGGTGGAGATAAGATACTTGACATGCTGCTGTGGATTGATGGGGTTTCTCAAGGGGACTTTAATGTGTATGGTGGGGGAGGGGGAGGAGAAAGAAGAAGGAGGGTTTTCACTAAGGAAAAAGCTTTCCTGAAATCAGGTGTTTGATTCCTTCTTCCTGTGCCTCCTCTCAGCCATTCACCGCTCCCAACCCTGGTTCCATGGCCGCATCTCTCGGGAGGACACCCAGAGGCTCATCGGACAGCAGGGCCTGGTTGATGGGTAAGATTAGGCGTATAGGAACAATAGGGGCAGGTTTCTGGGTAGTGAGATCCCATGTTGGTGTGAGGCTGTATGAGAAGAAATACCTAATTGAACCGGGACTGATATGTCTCATTCCATGCCCTGGCAGTGTGTTTCTTGTACGGGAGAGTCAGCGCAACCCCCAAGGTTTTGTCTTGTCCTTGTGTCACTTGCAGAAGGTGAAACACTACCTCATCCTTCCGGTGAGTGACCCCCTCTCGCACACACCCTTAGGGGCTCCCATCCCCACAACTCATTCCCTAGGTTTTCCTGCTAACAGATCTCCTTCCCCTTTCCTAATTGCCCAGTGGAATCCCCCAATAAATCCCAGGAACCCAGTCTTCCACGTGTTCCTCCTCCCCCATTCCACGAGGATCTGGTGAAGTCCTTGAATGACTTAGGGGCTGGAAGAGTAGGTGGCTAGGAGGGAATTGATAAAGGCTACTTGAGGAAAGAGTTAGTGTTGGGTGGAACCTTTGTTGGGTCCTCTCTTGGGAGGAAGTGTACAGGAACGCATGGCAGGGGGTGGCAGGAGAGAGACTCCAAGTAAACCATTGTCTCCCTGACCTCTTGCTTCCATCCATACCCCACTAGAGTGAGGAGGAGGGCCGCCTCTACTTCAGCATGGATGAAGGGCAGACACGTTTTACTGACCTCCTGCAGCTGGTGGAGTTTCATCAGCTCAACCGTGGCATCCTGCCTTGCCCACTTCGTCACTGCTGCACCCGGGTGGCCCTCTGACTGAGTGACTCCTGACAATTCTTCCTTCCCATAGAGAGAGGTATCTTGTCTCTCTCATTCTCCCCTGCTCCTGGCCAAAACAATCGGGGGATCCTTCTCCTCCCCCACCAACCCTGTACCTCAACAGCACTGGAAGACATACCCCCACTTCTGTCTGACTCCTCAAAGACCAGGCTTTGTGAGTCAATGCACTTTGGATCTTGGTGGGAATGCATATATCAGTAAGGAGCCCCTTCCTCTTCTCTCCTGCTATTTCTTCCTTCTCTTTCCTTTTTCTTTCTCTATTTTTCTATGCTCTTTTCCCTTTCTTTTTACTCTCTCACTCTTTCAGTCTTGTCACTCCCCTTTTCCCTCTCTCCTTCCCATCCAGGCATAGGAATTTCTCCCTCCCCTTCTGCCCCATTCTCAACCCAATACTATTGGAATGGCTTCTCCCCCTTTCCCCCCAGCACTGAGCTCCTGGTTTTCTCAGTCTCCAAAGCTGTGGATCCTGGGGCAGGGCATTATGGGAGAACTGGGGGGCAAGGGGTAGGGGCATCTCCACCCTTGTACAGATTGAGTGGCCAGTTGATCAGCCTTGTTTTATACCAGTAACAATAAAAATTATTTTTGGACCTCTGGTTGGGTTCTTTCTTGTGGGAAGGGTTGAGGGGAGCTGGGTTGGAGACTGTGTAAGAGAAGGCAGAGGGGGCAGGGAGAGGATGAAGTAGGATCTGGCTTCTGTTGCAAGAGGAAACTAAGAGATTTGAGGGTCTGATTTCAAGGGCTTCCTGACTGCCAAGGACACTGGGAAGGTGGCCACATGAATCTGGAAAGGGAGCTTTGAGACTGTCTAATCCCCTTATTTTACAGAGGGGGAAAGAGAGGCACAGAAAGGGGAAGTAATTTGCCTGCATTTAAGGGTCACTTGACTGGTTGAGACTGGGCCAAGACTGGAAACTGGGTGTCTTAACTCCCAGGCTAGTGGCTTCTGTACCAGGCCACACCTCATTGTCTCTCCTGGAAAGATTCCCTGCCTCTGACCTGAGAGCCAGCAAGGGGTGGAGATGTCCTGAAATGACCCAAAGGCAATTTATCTGCTCGTTTGGCCCTGACACCCACCTGGTTACATCTGGCATCCACAGGGCAGCTCGTGACTTGAGCCCCCACCGTTCTGTCCCACGCCTGTTCAGCAGTCTGATTAATCCCCTACATGTGGGGAGCTTGGTGCCAGGGTCCAGGCAGGCACCAAGAGGCAAGTTGTAATCTGCTTTTCAGATTTGGAGTCTACAGAAGGATTTAACCCTTGGAAACTCAGTGCCCTGTGGTGGGAGGGACAGATTAAAACCTCCCTTTATTAGGGCTAGAGAAAAGCCCAGCAGGGAGACAGAGAGTAGGGCAGGGGGCAAATGCCAAGACTGATCCTGGTTCCTGCTGTGCCCCCATGGCTCCCAGAACAGTCCTTATCACTGGCTGTTCCTCAGGCATCGGGTTGGCACTGGCTGTGAGACTGGCCACTGATTCCCAGGGACGCTTTAAAGGTAATGACTCTTCCAAACTCCATTCAGAATATATGGGGGGAAACTGGATACCCATCTAATTGATCCTTAAAGTCCCTTATACTTTACAATCTAGCCAGATATGCCCCAGGGATGCCAGGGTACCAGTGGCTGGGCACTTGAGCCCTCTCTTGTGGCTCTTTCCTTTTTACTCCCCCCTGCCTCTCACTCCCACTCAATATAACTTTTCCTGGGGCACAATCTTTACATTGAATTACTCACTCCCTAATCCTACCCAGTGCTGGCCACCATGAGGGACCTGAGTTGCCGTGGACCCCTAGAGGAAGCAGCTGGATCAGCCCTGGGACAAACCCTAGAGATTGAGCAACTGGACGTCTGTGACGAGGGCTCTATCACTCGTTGCCTGGATAAGCTTCCAGGACAATATGTGGACATCCTTGGTGACTAGTTAAGATCCTGGGAAGGCCAGTTTCTTAGGCAATGGGAAGAGACAGCCAGAAAAGAGAGGGCTGGGAGCAAGGGTTGGTTAGTTTTTTTTTGGTGGGGGAAGGTTTTTGTGGGGGCAGCATGGATGTGCTGGGGGATCCTGATGATAAAATTACAGACTTTGAGACCCACAAGAGATCATAGGATTAAATTTTTTAAAATTAACAAATATTTTTCTTTCTCCCACCTCTACACTCTTCATTAGGGCAAATCACTTAAACTTCCCGGGCTTATGTTTCCCCCTTGATTAAATTAAAGGATTAGACTAAAAGGCGGCACTTCCAGCTCTCTCTATTATCCTATACACGGCTAGTTAGTCCCAGAGCCAGCCCCAGAACCCATATCTGCTGTTGTTCAGTCATGACCCCATTTGGGATTTTCTTGACAAAGATACTGGAGTGGTTTGCCATTTCCTTCTCTAGTTCATTCAACAGATGAGAAAACTGAGGCAAACAGGGCTAAGTGACTTGCTTAGCGTCACAGAGCTAGTAAGTGTCTAAGTCCAGATTTGAACTCAGGAAGATGAGTCTTCCTGACTTCAGGCCCAGCACTCTGTGCACTATGGCGCCACCTAGCTGCCCCTAGAACCCACGTCTCCAAATCCCTTTCAAGTCTGTTGTTGGTAACAGTCTACATTCCCCCTCTTAGAGATATTATCGGCCCACCTTGCTGTATTGCCTTTGGTCGTGGTGGTATTTTATTTTGTTCTTTAAAGACCTCAAGTGTGTTATTTTGGTAACAACCTTAGCAAAAAACTTGGAGTCAGCTGTTAATTGTGGAAGGGAGAATCAAAAGAGCAAACTCAAGTTGGAGGATGGGAATACTTATTAACTTCAGAAATCTGGGGGAAAATAGACAAAGTCTGGGACTCAATGATGGAGGTACATACAGTGCAGTGCTCAGAGGTTGCTCCTGGCTTCCATGGAGAGTCAATCAGGAGGCTGGCACTGTAAAATGATGGAGGCCCTTCAAGGGTCGGGACAGTGGGAATAGGAATAGTCACCTTTCCTGGGGAAGAGTAGCTGACTCATATACCTTATGTGAGCTGATCTGAAAAACTCTGTGGGGCAGGTAGTATAGTATGCCCATTTTTACAGATAAACTATAAAAATTCGGAGGGCTGAAATCTCAAGGTAATTGTCTAATAACATTCCTCTGTGCCTCAGAATCTGGGCTGAGAGAGGGGAGAGATTATCACTGCCCAGAGGCAGGGCAATGCTTGAAATGGTAGCAGATGTTAATTTTCCGAGGGAAGGGATCCTGCATAAGTAGAGACTTACACCTAAATGGCCCCAGGAATAGATAACCTGTGCTGGGGAGGGGGTTGGGGGAAAGGAATTTCCAGTTGCCTGACTCTCCCTCTTGTCCCACTTCTCAGTCAGCAATGCAGGCATAGGGCTCATCGGGCCCCTAGAGTCACTGTCCCTGGATGACATGCGCCAGGTTATGGACACCAATTTCTTTGGGTTGGTGCAGCTGGTTCGGGCACTGATGCCTGCCATGAAGCGCCAACGCCGGGGACACATCGTGGTTATCAGCAGCATCATGGGCTTGCAGGGTATGGGATGGGGATAAAGGGATGATAATATGGGATGGGATGGGGAGAGGGGGGGTGGCGTGGAACTGAGCTGAGCCAAGGTAGCTGTTGGGGGCACTGGAGATTGGAGATGGTGGTGGCTGTAAAGTGGTGTAAGACCCAAGCTTTTCTCTCCTTATCAATTTCTGGGGCCGTTACTGGGTAACACAGCTAGTTGGGGGTCAGGGTGTCACACACCATAGGAAGAGGCTCTTAAGAATTGGACAGATCTAAACATCTGACTCTTGAGGACTACAGGAGAACTTGTGGACACCCTCACTTTCTTCTTCCATCCACCCCATCAGGCATCATGTTCAATGATATCTATGCAGCCTCCAAATTCGCAGTGGAGGGTTTCTGTGAGAGTCTCCTGGTACAAGCACTTCGGTTCAACATTTCGTGAGTGACTAGCAGGGAACAAGACAGGGAGACATGGCAATTGCAGAGGGGTTGAGGGTATTTGGAAATTTCAGCTCTTGGCACACAGGGCTGGCCCAGCCTCACAGGTTAAAGGAGATACTGGAGGGCAGCAGGTGGTGTGTTCTATACAGGCAGGGTCAGGATCCCAGTACAAATTCTGGCTTTGTTAATGTATGAAAGCCACAGAAATTCTGGGCCTGTTTTCTCCTATGCAAAATAAGGGGTTGGACTAGGGGGGTTATGGATAAATTTAGGCGGTCCCTGAACTTGGATCAGAAATAATAAAAAAAAAAAAAACAACCCACATCTTTATTTCAGTATAGTGGGTTTCCTTTGTAATGTTACATATTTTATTTTATACATTTAAAAACATTATGCTGAGAGGGGTCCATGGGCTTTACCAGACTGTCAAAAGGGTCCAGGACACAAAAAAGAGGTTAAGAACCCCTGGGCTATATGAAGCTTAAGGTTCCTTCTGGCACTAAACTGGGCATGAGGGTGACTCTGAGGATCGAGTCCCAGAGGGTCAGGGCAGGGGGCGGTTCCTTATAGGGTAACACTGGTAGAGCCAGGCCCTGTGACCTCAGAGTTCGAGGGAAAGCTGTATTCCGGGGTGGAGCAGGTGGACTGTGTTGGCACTGACTCCGAGACTGCAGACATCTTTACCCGCATCTACTTGCCCAATTCCCGGGCTCTCTTTGCTAGCCTGAGCCAGAGCCCTGAGGATGTGGCCGAGGTGGGTGTCCTTCTGCAAGAACATATCTGTCTTCCGTTACCCTCACGCCCCCATTCCCAGTCCCACTCCCCAACTAGGAGAACTCCTCCCGGGTATTGGAAAGCTCCAACAAGCCATCTCTTTTAGGCATCACAGCTTCGCTAAGCCCCACCTGTAAAATTTCCCTTCCCCACCTTTCCAATCTCTAGGAAAACAACAAACACTCTTTGCTCCTGAGTCCAAAAGCCATCCCCTTTCCTGGAGCCGCTGGTGCAGTGTAGAAACGGGTGATTCCTATGCTCTCCTCCCTCTGACCCATCGTTCCGATCCCTCTTCCCGGGTTAGCCTCTACCCATTACTTCAGGCCGTCTCTCACCGTGAGCCTATTTATCGCTGCCCTCAGGGCCCCATTCTAGACACTATACTGCCACCCGACGGCAGTGCTGCAGGGCAGTGCAGGGGAGGGCGCTAAATCCCCAAGTCTGAGTGGCAAGCTTTGTCTTCGCAGCACACCCTGAAGGTCATCTGTGCCCGCCGCCCACCCTTCCGCCACCAAACCAACCCGGCCTACACGCCCATGCTGGCCCTGAAGCGCGCCGACCCGTCGGGGGAACTGGCGGGCGCCGCCTTCTACAGCCTGGTGTTCCGCCACGGACCACTGCTCCGGGCCAGTCTTCACGCCGTGCGCCTCTGCCGCTGGAAGGCGCGCAAGCTCCGCCAGGCTCTACGCTTGCTCGGCCTCAGCCGAACCGGGTCCCCTTGGTCTCCAGCCTGTCCCTCGGCCCCGCCGGACTCCGGGCAAGCTTGAAGAGGCTTCGTTCGCTTTCCCTCAGTGCCCATCGCGGGAATCCCCTCCTACCCCCTTTCCCCCAACGGAGTGTCCTGGAACCCGGACTCTGAGACTAGGGCGGGCGCGCTGTGCGTGTGGGTCTGTGGTGTTGGAGGGACTGGATGGAGGAGTCCGAGCCGCCCGGTCTCCTCTCTCCCTCCTGTTCAGCTGCTGAGATACCAGCAACCCACACTTGGCACCGTCTAGTCCAAACCCTCGCCCCCTTCTCATTTTCCAAAGGGGAAAACCGAGGCCCAGAGAGGGATGGGAATATGTCCGAAATCACACAGTCACAGTGGAACCCGGGTCTCCGGACTCCAAGACCCCGACATCCTGACACTACGAGGATCTAAGGCGCCTGGCTGGGGCGGGCAGGAGGGGGTTGGGCGGCGGGGCGGAAAGAGCCAGCTGGTAAGAGATACCCAAGCGGATACTGGTGGAGAGAGAGATCCTTGGAGGAGTCTGGACAATAAAATGCTAAGCAACACCTGTCTGGCTTAGGGCATGTGTTTGGGGCTCGGGGCTGCTACCCGGACGTGAGTGTGGTGCACGCGGAATGGGGCTGCTGGTGGGTGTGGGTGGGGCGCGCGTGCGGCGGGGATTCCAAACAGGTGCTGCGAAGGAGCCCTAGGGTTTCCCTGCGCCCGGACCCCCGGAACCGAGCTCAGTCGTGCGGTTGTAGTGACACCCAGTGACCATCCGTGGGAACTTCAGGCGGCCGCGCCCGGCTCTGGCAGCTCCGGTCCCACGAGGTTCCGAGCGGATATCCAGAGGCGGGAGATGAAGAGTACAAAGACAGACATATAACCTTCCTCCCCTCTCCTCCATTCCCCACTTCTCCGTTCCTCGGCTGAGTGCTTCCTCCCCTCCCCCTCCCCCTCCCCCCGCCCCAGTTTTCTCCGGCAAGGCTAATATCTATTAGACGCTTGGAGATCCAAGGGCGGCTGGTTCCCGGAAGGGTGGAGCCGTGGGGTCGCTAAGCCGTAACAGGGTGGGGGAGTGGGTGCAGTTTCACTTCTGGATTCTGGCCCTGGGTGAAATAGGAGTGTTTCTATATTGGGCAGGGTGCGGCGAGGGAGAAGGGGGCAGGTGGGAACAGCCAAGGGTGTCATCGTCGTAGTGAGTCTGCCCTCTCACCCCGCTCCCCCCCACCTTATCCTCATCGGCCTCCTCGGCTCAACGGCCAGGGTGGTGAACTGAGGGTTCGAGGGATACCCAAGAATGTCAGGCGACCTGTGCAGCATCACACAGCCAGAGCCCTTTCTTGTCTGTTCTATTAAGTGGTTCCTGTGTACTAAACGTTTTGGTCCTCTATTCTCCAGTCCCCACTATACACCTCCCCCTCAGCACCCTCCGCCTCCATCAGGACCTCCCAGCCTCCGGAGGGGCCCCACGGATCCGTGGGTGGCTGTAGGGAGCTAGCTGTGAAGCCACAGGGGACAGGAGGGGGGCTGTGGGCTGCTGGGACGCTGGGGCTGTTTCTCAGAAGTGCCGCTGCCCCTCTCCTTTCATCACCGCCCCCCCCCATCTCCCATCTTACACCGCCCCCTGCCCTGGCACCTCCGGATGCGGCTGCGACCTCCTTCCCCTGGACCCTGCTCAAACCACCCCCCCCTACCCAGCGCCTGGGAATCCGGGTCGGCCCCCCCCCACACACACACCCTGGGTTGGGCCCTTGTGGCTTCAAGTGGAAAAACTGAGGCAGAGGGTATGGGGCAAGGAGGTGTGGGAGTTGGGAGTAACTCCCTCATTCAATGGCAACATTCAGAAACCCAGCATTTCCAGGTCTGCACTGCTCAGGAGACAATGTTTCTCCTCCACCCCCTTCCCTTTGCAGGTTCTATTCTGGAACTTTTGAGAAAGTGCCCGACGCCCCCCTCCTGCCCTCAACTCCCTTCTCCCTACCCAAAGGCCTCACGTTGTGTTGAGCCAGAAAACACTTAATACCTTTAACCTAATTTCTCAGCACTTTAGACGGACCATCTTTGGGGAACCCAAGTTCCTCAAGGGAGGCCTTGGACAAACATTTGACTCTGGATGGAGGGGAAAACAGAGAACTCAACTTTCCCTGGGAGAGGATGAAGCCGTGTGTGCATGTGGGCTGAGGAAGATGGAGATAGCATCTCAGAGATCATCTGTTCCAACTCCCTTCATTTTACAGATAAGAAAGAGAGTCAAGTTTAAGTGACTTGCTCGCTTTAAGGTTACTCAGGAAGTAACAGAGCTGGTGATGGAAACCCAGGTCTTCTGCCTCCAAATGAAGTATTCCTTTCAATGCCTTTAGGTCATTGTTCTCATCCTAATGCAGGTAGAATCCCACTTTTGAGACTTACTAGCAGTGTGACCATGAGCAAATCCTTGTTTTCTGAACCTTAGTCTCCTCATCTGTAAAGTAACAGGGTCAGACTAGATGAAATTCAAGGCCCCTTTCAACTCTAAGTCTATATGATGGCTTGCTGAAGGACACAGTGAATGAACCCAGGTATCCTGACTCCCAGGTCATTGCCTCCACTCCTCTGCCCCGAGAGCCACTGACCCTCCCTAAAGTCCCCAGGGTAGAGCTAATGAACGCAGAGATTTGACCTGTGTGGGCCAGACAACATAATTCCAGCGGGCATGGGGGATGGCATTTTTAGACCTTAAGCCCAGGTGGAGGTGTGGAAATGAAGGGGAGTTGGGAGAGGAAGGGATTGAAATGGTGGAAGGAACAACTTTGGGGGAGGAGACATCTTGGTAGTGTCGGCCCCCCCAGTTCCCATCCACCAGCCACCCTCAGAGCTGTGGTTTATTTGACTAAGCTGCTCTGCTGGGCCCAGGGGGGCAAGGGGAGGAGGTGGGGTATAGATGATGGGAAATGGTTGTCTTCAATTCTTCCTGTTCCCCATACTTTGTGCAAGGGGGCAGGGAGGAGAGCCACATGTCACAAACTCTCACCTCCATCCCTTCTGCCCCAGTGCTCTTTCCTTTGGTCACCACAAAAGAAGACATGACAAGGGAGAAGAGCTGTTTAATAAGCTAAAACTCACTTTTCAAATAAACAATCTCAATACCTCAGACCCTCTAGGGACTTTCTTTGACCTCCTTCCCCAACCCCTAACTTCCATTCCCCATGTAGGGAGTCTCACCCTAGTGATCTCCCCTCCCCAGGTGCGATTTTGGGGGCTTTTATGCAAATCATTGTCTGAGCTGGGAATGTCTCAGTAGCCAGGACTTGTGATTTGGGGAGGGGTGGGTGACTTGTTCAGTTTTACTTCTCTATTGCCTCCCTTCTGGGACTACTGTGTGCCTTCCCTACCTGATGGCCAGTCATCTCTGGGATTTTCTTCAGGCTCTGGAGATCAGGGGAATGAAATGAAAAAGAACTGAGAAGATACTCTCCTCTTCCCCTCATTTTGGGGCTGGCTGTTGTAGCCCAGTGGCTGTTTAGAATGCTACTTGGGAGAAGGGAAAGGTTTCCTTGTCTATACAGTGAAGGGGGGTGGATTACATGGATTCTGAGATCCCTTCCAGGCCAAGATTCCATGATTCCACAATTCCATGATTGTTGTGGAGCCATGTATGAAGGGTGCTTTTAGCAGTTGCTAAGGGGAGTGATGGTGATGAAAGACACAGGTGGGTACCCCCATTGCCAACCTAACCCATGAACCCCATGGGAGAAAAAAGGGAGGGAGTGAGTCAGTTGAACAGGCACTAAACAAGGTCTCCAAGAACAAATGAAGTCAACCTATCTTCTGTTTCATTTTTGACTTTATATTACCAGCACCTAGCACATAGTAGGTATCTAATGAATGTTTATCGATGAATTTATGTAGAAGGAGCCATCTACAGTTAGGTGTAGATCTGAGTTCAAATGAGCCAGCTCTCATCCTTAATCTGTCTGTATGGTAGTGGGCAAGCCATTGCAATGTCTCTGGGCCTCAGTTTTTTCATCTGGAAAATGAGACACTGCATAAATTAATCTTTGATTTTTTTTTTCTTCTGAGTAGGGTTGGTTCTCTAGGGGAAAGATCACATCACTTGGTCTCTCTTTCCAGAGGGGCTCACAATGAGCCCGTTGTTTCATATGTATGTTTAGAGAGTATTTCTTTAAATGCTAAAGCCCCTTGGTGAATGAGACTCCCTGTCCCCCCACCTCCCACCCCCAAGCTGTTCCCTCTCAGTGCTTGGGGCTAGAAATGAGGGGTGGGGATGAAGAAGAGGAGGAAGCTCAGAGTAGTCTTGGGCTTCCAGGAGCCCTTCTGCTTTTAAATACATTGCCTTTGGTATCCTTATGCTGAAGACAATACAGTGGATGGACACCATGTCTTGAACTTGTGGGATGATATGAACAAAGAGGAGTGCAACAAAATGAGAAAACATGGATGGTGGAGGGAATACCCATATCCACGAGACAACTGATCTAGCTGAGTAGTGAAAAGACCAGTGATCTTGGAGTCAAGAGTCATTGGCTTGAGTTATGGTTCTGCCATTTATCTGCATGATCTTGGACAAATCCACTCAACAACTTCTCAAACTTTCATTATCAGGAAAATGGGTAACATATTTGTGCTATTTACCACAGAAATGTGAGCTATTATTATTTTAACTTAGTGGAACTACAATGAGGTTGAGGGAGGTGGATATGCTTTCCAAGACTGGATGCCTACTGAAGAAACTGCCCGAGTTGGAGATTTCATACTGATCTCCATATTGTTTTGCGCATGTTTCACGTGAAATGTATGGCCTCTTCTCCAGTCCTACTCCCCAGGTTTGGGCTGGCCAAGCTTGGAATTAGTATCAGTTTGACTAAAGCTACCTCTCTAACTACAATCAGGATTTTCTAGGAGACTCATGAACAGAGAAAGAGGCAGGTTGTTTAATCCATTTCCCTCAGAGCTCCCCATCTCATATGTTGTGGGTTTGGGCCTTGGTCTGATCTGAAACATACCAAGGACTTGGTATCTTAGTTTTTTAAAACTGTACAGACTCTTAATTGTGACTAAGCTTTAGAGTTCAACTTGGGTTTCTCATGGTTTTGATTACTTAAACTCTAAAAATGAAAGAATGGAAGTTGAGGGAAAGGGGTCTGTGCAAAGGGAGAAGAATGTAACCTTTCTTTTCTCTTCCAGGTGGGATCCCTTTAACTCCCTGCCAATCACACATTCACTCCAAAGTTGTGGGATTCAGCTTTCCAATGCTAGGCTATGGATCAAGGAATCCAGAAGTCTAGGTCATTATTGCTTTCCCCACCATGAGAAAATAGAAAAACTGTTACTCTCTACATTCTCTAAGCTCTTTGCGAGGAGGGGTTCTCTTTTCTGATCGAGACCAAGAGAACTGGAACAGCAGAGCTAAGGATGGGTGTGGATGCCATCACTTGGAAGGACTGAGTGGGAGGAGACCCAATGTCTTGGCACTAGGACTGGACTAGGAAAATGGTCTCCTGTGACATGGCCTGCTTGTTATTAGGATCCTTGAACAGAATACTTCAGATGCTTTTATATGGACCTTTAAATATTTCATTTTTAAAAGAGAATAATACCTGTAATCCAAAGAGAATAGTAACCTCTTGAGTCTAAAACCCTCCACAAACCAAATGCATCAAACACGTGTAGTTTCAAACACACCACTTTTTTTATTTTTTTCCCTGTTAAAAAAATCATAAAGAAACTTTAAACACCCAAACAACCTTGTTCTTAACACAAGGACATATTGAAATTTGGACAATGGTTAGCACTGCTACATTACAGAAGCTTTGGTCTTTAGAGGATCTGGACATCTTGCTGTGACAAATGGAAGGACTTCAAGTAGCTGGACTATTGGATTCACACAAAGGACAGGGTCACCAGAAGTGGGATGGGGATGACAGCAATGCTTGCTTGGGAATGGGGGTGTTTTGGGAAGTCACACATCAAGGAGGGTGATAGTGGCATCAGTAATAAGAGAACTGCTTAACAAGGGGCTCAAGTCACACAAGTGCAAAAAACAACATGGTGAGACATAGTCCTCTACTTCACCTTTTCTCCTGCTTAGAGGGCCATTTATTCACTAATGTGTGGGAAGGCAACCTGAGGCTGAGACCTCAGTTTCTTTCTCAGTGTCACCCTAGTCACTCAGGCGACCAGGGCCATCCACAGACCACACCTGTGGCTTTGGAAACCAAAAGTTAAAAATAAAGCCTTGGTTTTTCCAGTTGCTAAAATGATCCCTCATACCTGCTCAGAGCCTGAGAACTTGAATATTCAAAGCCACTTGTCTAGCTGAAGGGGTGTCTGCTCTTTAAATGACCCACTAACCACTTGTAACCCACAATTATTTAGTTTCCATACACGTAAGTCAGGGTAAGGATAGGTCTTCCAAAAAAGGGGTGGAGGGGAGATGTCTTGTATCTGTTATCTTACTAAGTTGAAGATGTGGGAAAAATCCAGAGATGAGATGGAAACAAGGCTGGATGATTTAGCTAGAAGGCTTCTGCTGTGTTTGTGGGACACTCAAGCTCTATATTACCCACCTAGGAAAATAGAGAATCTGATTGCTCTCTGCCTCTACTGCATGAGGTGAGGAACCTGGTCCACTTTGAAAAGTTACAGATGGTAGGAAGGCTGAGAGTAGAATGGGGCTAGGTAAGAGAAGGGGTCAGTTGGAGCATCTCTAGGCATTTCAGAGTAAAAGTAGTAGGAGAAAGAGGTTCTAGGGCATTGATTGAGAAAAAACCGCTAAGTTGTTGGAGGCTACTGGCTAGAGGCCTATTAGAGTGCACGCTATTTCCCTGCATACATCAAGTTAAGAGTCTGGGTACTTAATGCTAATGAATTAACATGGTTTCCCTTCTTAAAGGGCTGGAAAGGTTTGACAAATGTTCTTCATTTATACCTTAAAACAATACAAAGGAAATAAAACCAAGGAATAAACCAGTGTCAATATTTAGTATTGAGAAGTTGCCTCCCCTGGCAACTAGTTCAACTTCAGGACCCTGGATTGGGCTCAAAATTATACCTTCTGAAGTCTTTGGGACACTGGCATAGTAAATCACCAGAACATACAACCATCTTGAGTGAACTTTCATCCAGAACCAGAGCTCGTTCTGACTCCTCATAATATCCCCTGAGGTAGGTATATGCATATACTTCTATCACTAACTTCTCTCATAGCTGGCATTCCCTTTCAACCCACCAAGAATCATATAGCCCCCAAACATCAGAAGACCAAGTTATTTTAAGAGAAAAAAACCTTTGAAAATATAATTTGTTTCATTTTGCTGGATGATGCCCTCGGGGCCTAGAACTGCTGGATGAAGTGACTATAAGGATTTGGTATCCTTTTCCGAGCTCGGGCTCTCTCCTCTGTGAGGAATGGATGTTCATGGGAACTAGCAAACAGATGGCTAGTTCATTGCTACTTCTTTAAATGAATAATTTTTTTTTACTATTATGATCTAATAGAACAAATTTTCCTCCCTCATCGATGTCTTTCGGACTGACTCATAGCCTGATCCATTTGGTTTCTCCAATAATATACCAATAATGAACTGGGTGGGAACAGGCAGCTAACCAGTTCCTAGTGCAAAGAAAACAACTTTCCACCAGTGAGGAAGTCTTGTGGTACAAATTGCACACAGCTTAAGTAAGTGACAGGTAGCTTGTTACTCAATGGCCTTAACAAGCATAAACATATCCCCTCCAGGTTTTCCTAATCATTAGGCCTCTTCTTTTTGCTCCCCGTAGTTTAGGGCCACTGTTTTTTCCTTGCAACTATCTATGACCAGTCCTATTTCTTCAGTACTTCCACAAAAGTAGGGTCCCTTTGTAGCTGAGAATAGATTGAAATCCTTCTCCTTCAATCCCTAATTGGATTTGCACCTGATCTCTACCCACATAAACTTCCTCAACTAACTTTTTCTCTGTCCTGAGAACCCAGTCTCCTAAACCTTCCCCAGTTATCAGTATTTCTCACTCATCTTCTTCCTCTAACTCTATGATGAGCTGCCCCGGTCCCTTAAAAAATCATATCATTCTGGTTTTCACTCCATTTTCATTTATCTTCTTGAACTTCTAAGAGATTCAAGTTCTTTCATCAGTCTGAATAGCCTGGAGGCCCAAGCTCCCCATCAGTGATCATCCCCTCTCAGAGAGGTCACATTACTTCTTTATTCCACTCTTCCAACCTGCCCTAGGATCTCTCAGTAATGTATTTTCCCTTTCAATATGTACACCCCTATATTTAGCCAGACATAGGGAGAGGGGACAGGCTAAGGAAAATGAGATTTTTTCTCTTTTTGGTGGTAATGTAAATGAAAGTAAATTTTTGTAATTACAAATTTTTTAAAAGTGGTCTGTTTCAATTAGAAGTCATCTTCAAGTCAATGTGGCATGTGCCTCACTACTACATTTAATAATAAGAAAACGTGTCAGTGATGAAGTTAGGAGCTAGGGAGGCAAGAATTGAAAATAGTAAGAAAAATATCAGGCTAGTTTGCTTTTTTTCAGAGTGTGATCATAGGAATATAGGGAGGGCTTTTTAAATTGGAAGGAGGGAGAAGAGAACTGTTCCACAAAACTAAGTATGCTGCATCTATACAAAAAAAGGAATTGCTATTCAGTGACCCTTTCATAAATTATTCTCTTCCTTTCCCACACCCATGCCACACCTGTCTCCTTAATTTCACTTGAAATTTTTAGGGGCTGATTGTTTATCTTCCTATGGCTTCCTGGGTAGGAGGTAGAATCCTTGCCTAGCAGGAGACTTGGTGGGAAAGCAGAAGTACAGAGCTGACAGTCTTTCTATCTTCCCAGGTCCTGGGATTGCAAAGTAACTGCTAATAGAATATCTATTTGCAGCTACTGCAAAAGTTCTCCAGTCCCAAGAAAGCTATTAGGTTATAGCTCTGAGCCAAACCCTCCTTTCCACTCATCTTCTCAAGGGGTTTTTTTCCCCCAACAAGCAAGGTGTTAACACAAGCATACCATAGTGGGTTCAGAAAGAATAGTTGGTTTCATGAGTTCCAATGGGTAACTGTCAGGGTTAGACTATGACACTAAAAGTGAATAATTTTCACAGGCAAAGTATCACTTAAATTGGATGCATTTTGTCCCATCCTTGGAAGTCTAATATTTAAAAGTATGTTCTGTGTGACTTAACACCATCTTTCTCCAGAAGAATGTATTTCTACTAAAACGGGCACCATTCAGGAAATCAATCGGGCATTAGAACAAGGTGAATGAAAGAAGGTTATAAAATATTTCTGTGGTTGGTGGAACAAGTCTCGTCACCATTTTGAGGTGTAAGAGTCATCTCTTCACCAGAATTTCTTCATTAAGGTGATAAGCTTTTCTTTTCCTAACACTCACCTCCAAACTCTTTCTTTTCCCCAACCCCCTAAATATTTAAAAAGAATTTGTGAAATCATAAGAATGATATGAGAAGCTACTCTTTTACTGGGGAATCTCACTTGGCACAGAGTCAAATACCATATAGTGATTGACTGAAAATGACAGAAGTATCCAGGCACACAGGATCTAAGAGTTGGATACCATTATTTTACAGATAAAGGAGTCTGAGGCCCACTGAGGCTAAATGACTTATTCAAGGTCACACAGTGAGCTTGAGGAAGAGTCAGAACTAGAAACCAGATCTCTGAACTTCCAAGTCCAAGATTCTTTCCATTATAGCAAGCTACCCCTATTGCCCCTGGGTAACATCCCAAGTAGCAAGTAACTACTGAGTTTCACCAGTGAGAAAAGGCAAAGTTGCAAAGGATGATTTGTGATTTCTACAATCAAGGGCAGAATATTTAACTTCTCATATTATCTAAACAAGCCGAACCCTTTCAATAAATGGCATATGAAAATTGCATATGTTTCAATCTCATAGTTGTGCAATTTAACAAGCTATCCCTTCTGAGCCCACACCCTGTTACAGTTACAGCTACTGTAGAGTAGACGTAGTCATGGAGAGAGAGCTGTCCTTGTTCTCAGGAAGACCTGGTTTCAAATCCTGTCTCTGACACCTATCAGCGGTGTGGTGCTGGACAAGTCTCAGTGCCTCAGGCAAATCTCTAAGACTGTAAATCTCAGAACAATAGTAGATCTGCCTTGGTAGAGGGAGTTTTCTCACCAAAAGCCCCCTACACCAATGAAATCACAGATCTACATAAATCTTTAATCTGCCAGGAATTTGAGATTTAGTAGAAATGCTCAAGGAAGCTTAATCTCACTTGTAAATGGGCAGCACAGAATTATTCCATTAAGCAGAATTCTTTTTTCATAACATGAGATCAAAAATTCTTTGGCTAGAAGCTATTTGCATTACTTTTTTTTCCGCATACTTTGGGGGAGAATTAAGATGCTTTCCCCTCTTCATCTCCCTCATGACCTGAAGATGTTTATGGAAAAGCCGAAATACATTTTCCTTACCATCAAATAAATGTGCAATATACCTACATTAATTATACATACACATATACATTAATTACATATATAAAAACTTTTACCCACTTAGTTCTAATAGATTAGAAAGCTTCAAAAGGATCTGTACTCATCCCAAAATCAGACTGTCAGAGTAAGAAGGAACTTTTGCAATTGTCTAATCAGATACCCTGTTTTACAGATGAGGAAACCAAGGCTCCTGAGAAGTGTGACAACTTGGCAAAAGTCATATAGGTAGTGGCAGAGCTAGGACTAGATCCAAAATATCTTAAGTCCAAGGCTCCTTCCTCTGTTCCACAGTATCCTTCTTCTATATTAAGAGTTATCAACTCCCTCTCCATTAGACCTGTGATTGATATACTTCCTTTGATGGAGAACAGACCAGAAAGTATTTACCTAGAATATGAGCTTCTTAGGGGCAGGGACTCCTGTAATTTTATATCTTTGTATCCCTAAAGCCTCTGCCCAGTGCCCTTTGAAAAACAGACACTTAATAAATATTTGTTGAACTTAGTGGGTCAGCTCTATCAAAATGTAAACCAAAGATCTCATGGCATCAGAAGAACTATCTATTCCTGATGGGCAACTTCTGGCCTGAAAAACATTATCCCTATGATCTCTCAGGAATTACCTAACCTTCCTTAGAGGTGGAGGAGGTAATATAGAACTAAACAATGTTTTTTTTTTTAATTTTACAGTATTTTCGAGTAGGGCTTGGTTGGCAGGTCTACCTCCACTTTGTAACAATAAATGGTGAGGGGTCAGAAGAACACAGTACCTGGCATACAACAGGTACTTAATAAAATGCTTGCTGATTGATCATGTAGGTAGTTGTTTCTCCTGTTTAAATTGCTGAACCATTTCTCTTCCCTCTTAGATACTCCCTCTTCCCATCTTTGGGGAAAGGAAACTGATGCTGAGTTCCATAACGGACAATTTGCTATGTTTTAATGACCATATGTCTTTGTTTATAAAAGATGACTCTCCTTATATAGAATTCCTTTCAGAGTAGTCGACTGAACCCGAAACAGTTCTTAGAGAATTAGGGGAGGAAGGGTAGTAGGAAGAAGCAGCAGGATGAACACACAACTGTTTTGGAGGGCGCTGCTGGTCTAAAGCAGATTTGGTGTTGAGTTTTTGGTCTTCAAATGCTAGATTAGATCCCCCGATCACATAAACTATTGCATTGCTATTCTAGTCCTGTTCTTTATACAGCAATTGGAAATACCTTCTCCTACTCTCTCCCCGCCAAAAAAAATCAACGTAGGCCAAGATTTGAGTACATGCAAAATTCTGAGTCAGTTTTCTGGCCAAGACCAATTTTCCCCGTTTATGGAGCTGAATACATGTCACCTCCAAGCTTTCATAGAGCACAGCCAGGGGACTGTTTGAAATTTGAACGGATGTCAGACTTATTAACATAGATTTGAGTTGTGCCGCTGTAGAAGGCGATGATTAAAGATTCCCCTGCTTTTAGTCCAGTAATATAAAGTCCTGGAGGGAAAAAAATGTTATAAAAAACCCATCTCTCAGTAGTAACACAATGGGTCCACAAGAGTTACTGAAGTGCAGAATCCCTTAGGCAGTTAATGAAGACCTTACACTTTTTATATCAGAACTGATACGGAAAATAACTTGACGTGCTATAGCTTCAGCAAAGTGGAGGTGCTAGTTGTTTCTTGTTGTTGCTTTTTAATGATGCTCAATACTTAAATCTCTGAGAGAGAATTGAGCTATTTACTTTAACATGACTCTGTGTTCTCCTCTAGCAATGTGAGAGGAGAATTCATACCTGTCATGGCTCCGGTACCCACACATATTACACTCAAAAGGGTCACGAAAACCATGGCAGCCCATGTGAATGGTGAACATCACATAATCCAGGAAAAGGACTCGGCAGTGGTCACACCTGAATACGCCCATCACCTCTCCATCTTTGTTGATCACTTTGATGGTATCTCGAGGGCAGATGGGTGGAGGTTTGAGGAGTTCATAGGAGTGGGGCAGCTCCTTCAGGGGTGCCATCCCATTTCTGGCCCGCGGAGGGATCAAGTGGCTCTGCTGGTAGGCATGATTCTGGCGTTCTTCATGGTTGCTATCTGTGTCTGTGGAGTCATGGCCACTGTTGTTGGGGGAGAGACCTCTTTCAGAAGGTAGGCATTTGTCTGATAGGTGGGTGTTTTTCTTCTCTAGGTCCTGAGGGCCACCATTTGGCATCTCTGTGCGGGTAAGTGCAATGGGGTACATGCTGCTGATAACTGGGACCATCTCTGAGGTTGGGGCAGGAGGGGTCTGCACTAAGGGACGCAGGGCCTCAGCTCCAAGGTAGGTGATGGCATTGTTAATGGCCTGATCCATCATCCGTGTCTGTATCATTTCACTTTCCTTCTCATACATGTAGCCGGAATTATAATTGACCTCAAAGCAGTGACGCTTCTCACCTATGAGAGGGAAAAGAATCAGTTACAACAGGGCCATATAGGCATTGGGATCTCAGAATTATTCAAAGAGTTTTCGGACTGTGGGAGACTGTGTGGTCCATTATAGAACACAGAACCCTTTGTGGAGTTACAGACTTGGTCCATGTCAGAGGCCACTAGTCACTAACGTTCGGTTGAGGCGACAGTTTTGTTGTCGTCTCCTGGACAAAATTTGGGGAATCCCAGGGATGGGAGAGATGTAGGCACATTAAAATTGGGCTCAAATGACTGGTGAGCTGCACTGGATGACAAGGGGTAGTTCTGTGCTCCTATCACATCCATCCTCCACCCAAAATATAGACAACCCTTTGCCTCTTATTTTCTGCTAAAATTTTTTGACAGATCAGGACAGAAGTGAGGCAACAGATGGCAAAGTTCGTTGGCTGGTGAAAGAGTCTCCCACGAGGAGATCAAAGAAAGAAGGAAAGGACCCATTTGTATAAAACTATTTATAGTAACTCTTCTTGTAGTATCAGAAAACTGGAAACTGAGGAAGTACCCATCAATCGGTGAGTGGCTGAGCAAATTATGGCCTATGAAAGTAAAGAAATAACATTGCGCTGTAAGAAGTGATGAAAGGGATGGGGTTTCAGAGAAACCTGAGAATATCAGGAAAAAATAGATAAATAAATAAGCAAACAAGCAAATAAACACACACATGTATACGCACATTTGTACACATGTAATACATATATGTATACATACATATACATATACATACATACATACACACAAAACATTATAAAGACAATTAACTTTGAAAGACTTAAGAACACCGAGCACTGCAGTGACCAATCTTGATTTCGGGGGACTGATTATGATCTACGCTACCCACCTTCTGATAGAGAGGGGATGGATTCAAGGGGCAGAATTAGACATACATTTTTGGACAGGAATTTGTTATGCTTCATTGTGCATATTTGTTCTGAGGTTGTTTTGTTTTGTTTTGATATGGGGGATGTGGTGGGAGAGAAAGAAAATAAATGCCTGTTAATTGAAAGTATGACAAAATTATTTTTAAAAGCTTTCAAAAACCATCAATTTCACACTGCTCAATTATGCTCAGTCACCTGACTGAGTCAATAACTGGGAAAGGGAGAATAAGCTTTAGCAATGGGAGGCTAGAGACAAAAGTTCTTTCAGAAAATGTTCTCTCATTATTTACTTAAAAAAAACAGGTCCATGATCAATATGTAATTGTTTATTAGGACTTGTCTTGCCCTTGACTGAAACAATCTTCTTACAGTTCCCCCTTGCTATTTCTCATCTCAGACTGATGAGAAATTCTGAAAGCCTGTCCTAACCCTGCTCTGGGTGTGTGGGTGTTGTGTGTCAGAAAGCAGAGGCTTCCAGGCCACAGGGCAGACTGGGATGGATGGTAGCAGTGGTGGCAGGTGCACTTATTGGGTGAGTAGCAGGTGAACAAAAGACAGAATATGAAGGACTTATCAAGTAAGAGGCAGATATGGGGCAGAGGCCTCTGGTGCCACTTTTCTCATCTCATAGTTTTATAAGCTCTAAAACATTAATTGCATCTCTTTCATCTTCTGCAGACTTTTTTTTAACATATAATTATGACACCAAATCATGTCACTGCAACTTATATAAAACATTTCTTAATTTAAAAAAATGTTGACTAACAACACCTTTTAAGTTTAGCTAAGTACTTCAGCCATCATTTGTTGAATGCCTACTGGATTTTTAGCACTTTGGGAGATATAAAAAGAGGTGATAAGGTCTCTGAACCTTAGGAACTTACAATATAGTTGGAAAAAGACTAAAAACCTAAGTGAAATAACTATAGAAAAAATGACAAGACAAAATATGAGTAAGTAAGTGGCTGTATAGCACATTCTGCCTACAGAAATGCTTAGGGAACAAAAAGTAATTTTGGGCTTAGTCAGGGAAGTCTTCTTGGAAGAAGATGAGATGGGCCATGAAATTTAAAGTAGCAGAGAGATAGACTGAATCAAGGAACAGATCAAGTACAGACAGATAGGGAGGAATAAGCAAGATGTATATGGAAAAAAATAATGGCTGAAGTAGAGGGGCAATGTTGGGTAGAAGTGAGGACTAAGATTAGATGGGTATAGTAGGACTGGTTAATGGAGGGCCTTGGATGCCAGGCTGAGTTTGGCTTAGATTCAAAAGAGACCCCTTATATATTTTTTTTTCGAGGCAATGGGGTGAAGTGACTTGCCCAGGGTCACACAGCTACTAAATGTCAAGTGTCTGAGGCCAGATTTGAACTCAAGTCTTCCTAAATCCAGGGCCGGTGCGCTATCCACTGTGCCACCTACCTGCCCCAGCCCCTTTATATTCTTGAACAAGGGAAGCATATGTTGAAAAATGATATTTTAGGAAGTGGCGGAATGCAAAATAGGTTTGAACAGAGGGAAACTAGAAACAGACCAGCTAAACGGACACACCTATTTCCACATTCCCTAACACCTACAAGCCAAGGTGATTGTTCCAAGACCAAAACTGAGGAAAGAATAAAATATGCAGTGAATCACATCTCCCCTTCTTTACTCAACAATCAACCTTACTGGTAGAGTAGACCATAGGCAAATTCACCATGGTCTCTGCTGTTCCACTTCCAAAAAGAACATACCTCTGAATACTGCTGTGTTGGAAGAAGGGGCTGAAAAAAATACAGTCCAAAAAGCTTTAGACTTCTCAAACAACCCCTTGCGAGTGGTACCCAAATGACGAAGCTTAATGTAACATTTAATGCTCCATCCCACTGCTCTAATAAATTCAGCCTCTTGACAGGATCCTCTCAATATCTTCACCTAAGGGAGGAGGTCCAGTACATTTTCCCTTGGGGTGAAAACACTTCACTAATTCTGGGTCTTAATCCTCTCTCTCATTAGCTTACTTCACTTAGTTAGGCCTCACTTTACAATGGTAGCACCTGCAGCACATTGCTAGAAAACAGCTGAGTGCTAAAAGTTGTGAGAAGCAAAACACTAAGAGAAAAAAAGAAAACGAAAACCTCTGGATGAGTGGAAATAAGTAACTGAATTCTGTGGTTAACGAAACAACCATTGTTCATTGTTAAGAAGATAGAAGAACCTCACACCTTCACGTGCAAGCAACTTGCAATGATCAAATCCCCTCATCTCTGAGTTACGGTAACTTAAACAGCACAGATGTATATCAGTCACCTGTAGAGATGATGACTCAATGTGTATGAAACTCACCAGGGTGAGCTACAGTAATCGAAAAGCCAAGAGCTCACGTTTCTTTAGTGACACACTCATTTAAAAAAAAAAAAGAGTTAGTCAAACCACAGAAATGTAACTGCTTCCAAACCCACACTGGACCTATAGTCCAGCTTCAAGTCAGAATCACCTAACATCTCTTGATGATTCATAATACCAGCTCCAGGCTGAACCAGAGGCTCTCAGCCAATGAAAATACAACATCCAAAGAGCAGGCTTGGTCAGGCTACCTGTTCTCCCTACAACGTCCCATGCTTAGAATCAGTCATTTTACATGAGAACAAAACTGACACAATTTGTTTATAGGAATTCCCAGGATTTAGGGTTGGAAGAGACCTCAGAACAAGGGAGAAATTATCTGGTCCAACCCTCTTATTTTATGGACTGTTGTTAGCCATTTTCTCTCTTTTCTGTCATTCTTTAAAAGTAGGGGTTCTTAACTATTTCTGTGTCATGGACCCCTTGGGCAATCTGGTGAAGCCTTTGGACCCCTTTTCAGAATTATACTTTTAAATGAATAAAGTAAAATACATAGAATTACCATAGAGACCAATTATATTGAAATACAGTTATCAAAATTAAAAAAAAAAGTTCACCCACCTCAGGTTAAGAAGCTTTGATCAAGTCCAATCCCCTTATTTTACAGTTTAGGAAACTGAGGCCCAGAGAGGGGAAGAGACCCAAGGTTATACATTATGTTTAGGGGCTTAGGGCTAGATAAGGTAATAGGATTGTAGAGCTAGAGCTCGAAGGAATGATAGTGAATACCTCTCATTTTACAGAGCAAGGAACTGAGGCCCAGAGAAGGGCTAACTTGCCCAAGAACATATAGCAAGTGAATGGCAGAGCCAGGGTGAAAATTCTGTTGGGTGAACAAGTCCTGTAGGAAAGCTCCAAATTAACTCACATCCATCTCCCAATGCCTCTGGGTTTTTCCCAGTAGGAAAGTGGGTGCCATAAACACTTTAGTATTATAACTCTAGTACCCAAAGCAGGGGTTGTTAACCTTTTTTTTGTGTGTGTGTCATGGGCCCTTTTGGCAATCTGGTAGAACCTATAGACTCCTTCTCAAGTTAATGTTTTTAAATGAATAAAATAAAATACATAGGATTACATGGGAAACAAATTATACTGAAATACTATTGTCAAAATGTTAACAACAATAACAACCACCAAGTTCTTGGACCTCAAGTTAAGAACATCTGTTTTAAAGGGTGTCAATCCCTAGTCCCTAGGCCAAACCCCAATCTGCGTCATTTGCCCCCAGATAAAATATTCTTCATTTCCTGTTCTAAAACTGTTGGGTAGTGTGGGCACGAGCCTGTTAACATCTTCACAAGATGTGAACAAATCTTAGGTATCATTATATAAAAATGCTGGGAGGGACCTCGAAAGGTCAGTTTGTAATCATATTGGTACATTAGGAAGTCTGCTGAACAGATGAGTAAGATTTGATTAATCTCTTCAGAATCTATAGTTAACAGAATGAGAAAAGGTAGTCTTAGCCCCATTTCTACCGTTTGACACCAGATGGTTTTGGCTCCCTCCACCACCCCCAACTTCAGGAAGGTGACTAAACCATCCAGAAGAAGGGTCTGTGGATAGGTTTCAGGGGATCCACGAATTTGGATGAGAAGAAAAAAATACATACTTATTTTCACTAACCTCCAACTGAAATGTAGCATTTCCTTCAATTATTTAAAAACATGATTCTGGGAAGGGGCCCGTAGGTTT